TGCCGGGCGGCCCGGGCTGGCGGCTCCGGAGAAAGCCTGGCAGCAGGCGTGCGTGGCCTCTGGTGCATCCCCTCTCCCACCCCTCGTACCTCTTGGCTCGGCCCCGGTCTCCCCGGGGGGGGAACCTTGCTGTCACCCCGGCTCGATAATGTCACCAGATGCCCCCCTTGGGACTTGGCTGCAGCTCCTCAGGCTTTGTGCTCGGCGTGGCTGGGGGTGGGGGGGGGGGGGCGGGGCCGGCGGGCCGGGGCAGGGGGCCCTGCCACCACCACCTGCCCCGGCTCCTCCTGGGGCAGCTGCTGCTCTGCAGGGACGGGCGCTGATGGGGGGCGGCCAGGACCCCCTGCAGGGCGGCCTCCAAGGTGCCGGCTTCCTCCTCCATGTCGTAGCTTTCAGGGCTGTTAGAGGAGGCCAGGCTGGAGTCGGGGGTCCCCCTCTGGGAAGCGGTGGGGCTGGTGCTGGCTGCAGGGCCGTTGTCCTCCTCACCAGACTTGGTGCCCTCGGAGATGGTGTGCTTGGCCAACTCACCAAGCAGCAGGAGCCACACGGCCGTCTGGATCTCCCGTGAGGTGATGGTGGAGCACTTGTTGTAGTGCGCCAGGTGCGAGGCCTCGCTGGCAATGCACTCAAAGATGTCATTTGCAAAGGAGTTCATGATGCCCATGGCCTTGGACAAGATGCCCATGTCGGGGTGCACCTGCTTCAGCACCTTGTAGATGTAGATGGAGTAGCCCTCCTTGCGGCTCTTCTTGCGCTTCTTGTCGCCCTTCTTCTGCGTCTTGGTGACGGCTTTCTTGGAACCCTTCTTGGGCGGAGGGGTGGGCTCAGCCAGCTCGGGCATCGCAGCGAACCCACAGCAGCACTAGTTTTTGAAAAAGGGAAGAAAATAGTCCAAATCTTTCTGAAAGCCATATTTGCCATAAAACCAAATAAGGTCAAGGGACCCACACAGGAGATCCAGTTTATAGGAATAAAATGGCAAGATGAATGCCATCAGAGCCCAACAGATGTGATCAGCAAAATAACAACTATGTCTCCACTATCTGGAAAAAAGGAAAAACAAGCTTTCTTGGGTGTTGTGGGTTTTCGGAGAACGCATATTCCAAATTACAGCCCAATTGTAAGCATTCTCTATCAGGTGACCTGGAAAAAGAGTGATTTCAAATGATGCCCTGAGCAATGACAAGCCTTTGAACAAATTAAATGGGAGATAGTTCATGCAGTAGCCCTTGGGCCAGTGCTGGCAGGGCAAGATGTAAAAAATGTGCTCTACATTGCAGCCAGGGCAAATGGCCCTACGTGGAGCCTCTGGTGGGAAGCACCAGTGGAGACTTGATGTCAACCCTTGGGGTTTTGGAGTCAGGAACACAGAGGATCTGAGGCCCACTAACTGAAAAAGAGATATTGGCAGCATGTGAAGGGGTTCAAGCTGCTTCGGAAGTGGTTGGTACTGAAGCACAGCTACTCTTGGCAGCCTGACTGCTGGTGCTGGGCTGGATGTTCAAAGTGAGGGTCCCCTCTACACATCATACAACTGATGCTATCTGGAGTAAGTGGGTTGCACTGATCACACAACAGGCTCAAACAGGAAACCCCAGTTGCCCAGGAATCTTGGAAGAGATGATGGACTAGCCAGAAGGACAAAGATTTTGGAGTATCACCAGAGGAGGAGGTGGCTTGTGCTAAAGAGGCCCTGCTGTATAATAAACTGCCAGAAAATGAGAAGCAATATGCCCTGTTCACTGACGGGTCCCATCATCTTGTGGGAAAGCATCGGAGGTGGAAGTCTGCTGCATGGAGTCCTACAAGACAAGTTGCAGAGACTGCTGAAGAAGAAGGTGAATCAAGTCAATTTGCAGAGGTGAAAGCCATCCAGCTGGCTTTAGATATTGCTGAAAGAGAAAAATGGCCAGTGCTCTATCTCT